TCCTTAAAAGGATCTTTAAAATCCTATGCTTTAAGATGGACAAGATTTGTCCTTTTGCACCTTAAGCTGGCCTTTTCACACATTTATCCTTAAAGGGATCTTTAAATTCCCATGCCTTAAGGTGGGCAAAATTGTCCGTTTGCACCTTAAGCTGATATTTTCACAGATTTATCCTTAAATGGATCTTTAAATTCCCATGTCTTAAGGTGAACAAGATTCGTCCCTTTGCACCTCAAGCTGGCCTTTTCACGAATTTATCTTAAATGGATATTTAAATTCTCATGCCTTAAGGTAGACAAGATTTGTCCCTTTGCACCTTAACCTATCCTTTTCACGAATTTATCCTTAAAAGGATCTTAAATTTTCATACCTTAAGGTGGATAAAATTTGACCTTCCACACCTTATCCTTAAGTATTCGGGATCTCAAAAAGCCACAAATTAGTGATCTCAAGGCGGGGACGTTAAGCACAACCCTTCACACCTTATGCTTAAGTATTTGGGATCTTATAAAGCTTCAACTTAGTGATCTCAAGGCGGGGACGTTAAACACATCCTTTTACACCTTATGCTTAAGTATTCAGGATCTCATAAAGCCTCAAATTAGTGATTTCATGGCGGGGACGTTAAACACATCCCTTCACACCTTATGCTTAAATATTCGGGATCATATGAAGCCTCAAATTAGTGATCTCAAGGCTGAGACGTTAAACACATCCCTTCACACCTTATGCTTAAGTATTCAGGATCTTATAAGACCTTAAATTAGTGATCTCAAGGCAGGGACGTTAAACACATCCCTTCACACCTTGCTCAAGTATTCAGGAACTTATAAAGTTTCAAATTAGTAATCTCAAGGCGGGGACGTTAAACACATCCCTTCACACATTATGCTCAAGTAATTAGGGTCTCATAAAGCCTCAAATTAGTGATCTTAAGGCAGGCATGTTAAACACACCATTTCACATGTTATGCTCAAGTATTCGTGATCTTATAAAGCCTCAAATTTGTGATCTTAAGGCGGAGACGTTAAACACATCCCTTCATACCTTATACTTAAGTATTCGGGATTTGATAAAGACACAAATTAGTGATCTCAAGGCGGGGACTTTAAACACATCATTTTGCACCTTAAGGTTGAATTTTGTTATGATAAAACACTCTATTGCGTAGCCTCTGTAAAATATAAAAAAACAAAAAAAAAGACAACACCAAGAAAACACAAGTAAAGGAGAGGTTGTTACCTATCAAGACGTTCGAGACTTGGAAGCAATGCTAAGCTAACTAGGTTATACTTGAGACAATACTTTCTTGGTTATAATGAAACCTTTGAAGTATAGTTTTCGGCGAAACCCTTTTTGGTGATGACTTCCGACATCAAGATGCAACAAAAATCTGAAATCACCTTACAAAATTTAAAGTGAACTTCAAAAAATTGTCTAGAACGATATTGAATGAGTTTCAATCCAAATTTCGGATATGTTGTAGCCATTCATTATTGCTTTCAGTAGAATCAAGCGCATTGTAATTTCGATACTTCTACCTCGAGATACAATTTGTTTGGTGTCATCGCGCAAATCTAAAACTATTGGTGCTCCAAAATCTAAAACTGACTTCATAATAATATCTAAAGTAATTCCGAATGTAGTAAATTTTGGATTTCATATATATTGTAGACCTTTATGTCTAAATTCGAAATAATTAAGCGGATTGTGATTTCATCATTCCTACATCAAGATACGAGCATTGTAATAAAGCCACATAAATTTGAAATTTTCAGCATGACAAAATTTAGAGCTAACTTCAAAAAATCATATAGAATGATTATGAAGGTATTTAATTTTGGATATGTTATAGATCAAGAAGTCTAGTTTTTGAAAAATCAAATCGTTCGTGATTTCGACGTTTCTACAATAAGATATGAATTTTCTGCGACAGACATGTCAAACTGTAAAAAGTGACGAAAAAACAGGGAGGAGAAGCTCCAAAAGTAGTGATGTTGATAATGGAAGAACATCCATTTATAGATGTCATGTGATGAGAATAAAATCATTCTCCTAGTTCAATTACAATTCTTTTTTGGCTAAGGCGATAGAAAAATATATGTATATGAAATTGAGTGGGATTACAATTCTTATAATTGGAATTGATTTTTTTTTAAAAGGGAACCTTTCCGAGTCCTAATGGAAACAAAACATATATGCTAGTTTTCCTATTCCAATTGGAAAGTGGCCGCATGGAGTAATTACTGACAATCTTCTTCTTCACTCCAATTATGTTGGAGTGGTGCAATTATTGTGCATCTCAATATTAATGTCGTGCAATTTTTTTCTAGATAATACTTAAAGCCTAGTTTTCAAAAGATAAAATATCTCGACAAGTCTTGAAGTAGGGGGCATTTGTAATCATTTAAAATTTATAAAATGATTCGAATTTTATTAAATTTATGAATATATTAGTCCAAATAAATTATGGATTAATATAATTGAGTTAATTATTTAAGTCCAAAAATATGGATTTAATTAAAATCTAAATTAATTGATTTGAGCTACAATAGATGAACCTAATTAGCTAAGCCTAATGACATCTCATCCTGGAGGTCCAGTTTGGTGCCACGTGTCATGCCAAGTCAACAAAGAAGCCAATAGAATCATGTCAAAATGACAAGCCCGCTCCATAAAGCTCATATGCCATGTCACTTAAATCTGATTGGCCTAAAGGATACATGTTTCTATCACAACTCCTCTATTCCACAACTATAAATAGGGATCCTCATAATTTAGAAAACAGACTCTAAATTCTAAACAAAAAGTTAGAGAAAGCTTGTGGATCAAACGCCATAGATTTCTCTATAAACTACAAGTTTAAGAATTTAAGTTCAAGAACGGTCAAGACCACTAGATTCAAGAACAAGCTCGAAGCCCTTGAATTCAAATAAAAGTCAAGATCAAAATAAAGTTCAAATTTAAGTTCATTGAAGATTCAAGAACCTCCAAAGCCCTTGAATCCAAGATCAAGTTCAAGACAAATTTATGATCAAGCTCAAGAACCCTTGAATTTATATCTGAAAAGATGAATCAAAGGAATAATAGAGATTATAACACTCGCACTTTGAAATCAATAAATACGATTGTTGCGATACTCTTCCGTTCTTGATTATTGTTTTCCCGGCGCGAATTTTATTGTCTAAAATTTATTAAATATAATTTTATAGACATTGAAATTTTGTGGGACTCTATAAGACGTGTTCAATTCGAGTTGAGACTCTACAAGATGTGTTCAATTTCAATTAGGATTCTTGGAGGCTACTCAATCTTAAACCCTAGTTCATACCTATATAAAGGGTACTATATTCCCTTGAAAAGGCATCTCGAATATTCCGCAAATTCATGAAATATTCATAAAGAGATCAAATCCAAATTATCTTAATTCGAGAAATACGTTACTAAAGACCCTTGAATATGGAGAAATCTTTTATGAGAGAAGGATCAAGGGAGAAACCAAATTGTACCCGCACTATTTATCAAACAAATTTCGCACGCCCAGTGGGACTCGAATTGTGATTGTAGTTTATTTTCTGTTACTATAAAATTTGTTGCAAACAAATTTGGCACGCCCAGTGGGACTCGAATTGAGCATGTCTTGTAGAGTCTCACAAAATTTCAATGTCTACAATTACACCAAGATATTTGAGAGTATGAGTTTCATACCTAAACTATCTTTCATACATAAACTATCACTCATTAGTTTGAGAAATATACCTTAGTGATACATGTAATACACTTTTTTTTTAAAAAAAAAACCTTGCCACATGGCGTATCGCATGGATAAAACATTCCACCTGGACAAAAATTAAATAAAGTATTAGTATTAATTAAAAGTTAAGATTAAAGTATCACTCTCCCCAAAAAAAGAAATTGACTTTTTAAAAATAAAATTTAAAACATTTTTCTTTCCCCACTCCACCACCTCCCCCCCAACCCCATTTTTTTAAAATTTCTTTTATAAAAGTCTTTTAAAAAATCTTACTTCAACCCCAAACCACCCACTCCTTCCAAGAAAATTTAGATATTATTTTTTTTAATATTCTACCCCACCCCATCGAACCCTCCGCTCTCTTTTTTTTGTTTGTATTTTTCTCGTTTTGTGTTAGATATGTCTATATGTTTTTAGGAAATAATTTTTTTCTTCTTGTGTACCGAATATAATAGAAATGCAAATTTTATTTTATTTTAAAAAACTTGCAGCAAGTAGATTTTTTCCTAGAAAGTCACCGAAAATTGACGTACGGTGATCTGTCTGACTGAGTTTTCTTCCCTTAAATATGGGGTTCATGCATATATCATTGGCCCTACTTTTGTTAACATAATTATTGGCCAGATGGGCTGCAATTATATGTAATAGCCATCTGCCAGTCGCGGAAGCTCTTTGATTCTCTACCAAAATCGTGGAGGCTTTGATACCATGTGAGAAATATGAAGAAGAACATTATTGAATTGTGTATCTATATTATTACATTTAGACTCTATTTATAGACACTATATTAGACTCCTTTTCCAACTAACATTACATTACAATCCTTTTTCAAGTAGGATTCTATATACTATTTCTATTCCTATTCTAAGTAGGATTGTATATACTAATTTTGTTCCTACTCCTATTCTAACAACCACTGTTGACTTAACATAGATTGACTGATAAGGTTTTTTCTGCTGGAGTGTTGGTCAGTTGGAAAAGACCATTGTCATAGAAGTCAAGTGGAGTTTACCTTATTTATAAATCCACAGCACATCTAAGTTTGCCTTCTGAATAAGAATCTGACTATCTTCAATGTTGTGGCATATGCAAACCTGTCAGCTGATCTTAAATGCAGTTGGCGTTCTCTGTTTGTTTTTTCCTTCTATTAATTGCGTCCATTTGTTCTACAACTCAAAGTCATCTTCTTGTTTAACAATAGGAGTATGATCCTTCTAGATTTATTGTGTTTTATTGTCTGTTGCAGACATCAAATCACCAAGTGATCCGAAGTATATGGAGGCATTTGGTAAGTCCATCTGATCTGTCATTCTAGTGAGGATTCAACTTTATGCATTCAGGTTGTTAGATTTCCTTTATGACCATCAAATATTGTCCCACTCAGACTCATATTTAACTAGTTGGAAATAAACAACCAGCTAATGTGTTGAACTTCCTCAGTTTTCTTGCCTATATTTATCCCTTCTATTTTTTACATTTTGCTGGTTGGATTAAACATGGAAAACAATCAGATACCCATCTAAACTTGTCTATTGATTTACATATTGGTTATTGGCTAGGCATCATTGGTTTGCACTTCATGAAAGTCTTAATTTTGATCATTCAAATCTCACCCATCAAGTGCATTTGTTTTTTTAGGTCTGAATCTTAATCATTAAATGCATTTTTTCTAATGTTTCAACCACATAATGGGTCTAATGGATCTAAATGGATTAAGATTTGTAATGGTGTCTTAATATCATCAAAATGTTTATTTAAAGATTTCTACAGAATTGGTATCTCACCTATTCCATCTATTCACCGCTACCGCCATTGTCCACCTTTAGCAACTATCGCCATTGACGCTCACCATTATCAACTACATACCACCCACCACCCACCCATAGACACAACTACCATTGCTGACTATCACTAATAGAATCCTAAGTAGAAAATTCTAAAGAAACAATAAGGGAAAGAAATAATCAAAACATAGAAGCAAGGCACATAATTGGTTACAAACACTTCCCAATTGAACTCAATCAAAGCACCAATACTATAAATGATTCCACAAACGAAGAGGCTCAATTTGAATCCACAAATGAGCAATCTCAAGTGAAAATCAAGATAGGAAGTTAAAGATCAACTAAGGAATGATCGAATGAGTACTCCACTAGCTAGCTAAACTAGGGCTAGAAGTGCCATGCCCCCAGCTTAGACCTTGGGCGGGACGGGCACTCGATGCCATGCTAGCCCGAGCGTACCTATAATATGATATTAGACATGAGTGAAAACATAGTTTAAAAGTATTTGAAGAGAAAAGTCTTGTAAAATAAATACTTTGCATAAAATGCAAGTTATAGTACTGAAATCGCTGACAAAGGACATGAAGGTCCAAACTAGAGCATGATTAAATGTGTGTCTATGAAGTCTCTAAACATAACTGAGCAAGGTCTACCGGGACAAGGCCCTCGACATACGTTAAACACATATTCATAAAGTACTAGAAAACTTTAAACTAAGCCCATGAAAATAGAGAGGGGCTCTCCAATAGTAGAAGATATGGGGCCTAGCAAGTGATTTGATCACGTGTCGGTGTACCTGAGTCTGCATCAAATAAAAGATGCAGCGCTCTCGACCGAAGGGACGTAAGATTCTTGTTAATCGAACAACGGGCGACTCAATCAAAACCAACAGAAGGATCCAAGAAATGATCAATGAGTTAAAACGATCAAAGCTAGAAGGGATTAGCACAAAATGAGAATTCGAACACAAGGAACTAATCAGCAACCAAGTAAGGCCAATTACTAGTGTTGATTCGCTATAAGGATCAAGGAAGTGGATTGAAATTGAAATAAAAGAAACTATGACAGTTAAATTTGAGATTTGTCAGAGTAGATGAAGTTTTCCATGGGGTAGAGGCTGTGATGTGGTCTGGCTGGTGCCGCAAGGGGTTGCTGCGAGCGCAACCCTCCTCCACAAACTCCACACTTTTGGCAAGCTTTTGCCTAGAGTCTGCGGTCCTTGATTCGGTAGCAAAGTAAAATGTGCGACTCGCAAAGTTGACGCGAGCTGTCAGCTTTTTGTTGCGATTTTGGACTCCGATTTTGTGCACTTTTTGACTTTTGTACTTTATTCCCTTCTAGAATTTGCCTTTTTGGCAATGTTCGTTTTGTACTAACACATGCACACTTTTCCTTCACTTCCCCTTTTGGATCAAAGACCACTCTTTGAACCTCCTTCAAGTTATGAAGATCACCAATAACAACTATGAACTTCAAAAACTTGACCTTTCCAATTTCAACTCTGACCCACCAAATTTGAGATTCGAACTCCTTGTGATAGGGAAGAAAACCCTAATGCAATTGAACCTTCAATTTAATCCAGATCTTCAGTCCCACTTGCTTGTTCTTCAAGGTCTCCAACCCAACAATGGTGAAAACTTCAATTCTATTCCATACAAGATTAAATCTTAGATCTTAGACTCATTAACACTAGAGAATTCAGATCTTATGTTCAGAATACAATTCAAACACGAATCAAACTAGGCTTTTAATTTTCGGAAACAAAAACCTTTTTTTTTTGAATTTTCTAATTAACAAGCTAAGGAATAAGGATTAAGAATTGTAGAAACAACTCTTTAGCGTAAACTCTGATACCAAATGATAGGATCCTAAGTAGGAAACTCTACAAAAAACGACAAGGAAAAGAAAAAATCAAAACGGCGAAGCAAGACTATTAATAATGAGTTTATGGGAAACATTGGATTGGTTATCGATACCTCCCAATCGAATTCAATCATAGCACCAATACTATAAATGATTCCACAAACGAAGAAAGCTCAATTTGAATCCATAAATGAGTAATCTCAAGTGAAAATCAAGCCAAGAAGTTATAGATCAACTAAGGAATTGACACTACACTAGCTAGCTAGACAAGAACTAAAAGGTTAGGCTAAAAGTGTAATCTCTCATCAATTCAACCTACGCTATTCTAGACTAGGAAGCCCCTATTTATAGCTTAGGCTTGATTACATTTTAGGCCCAAAAGTGACGCTGCAAGACAATGCAAAATAAACCCAAAATGTCACACTTCTTCAAAGTTTGCGCTCCTAGTTGCGACCTCAACAAGGAGTTTGCTGCCGCGTCCTTGACAGAATTGAGGAGTGATCTGTTTCGAGTTGCGACGCTGGATGCGGTTGTATGGCCTAGTTGCAGCATCGCATGAGTTGTTGCAGCGTCGCATAACACTTGGTCATCCTCTTCTTCCTCCCCCTTGATCATCCACATGTTGTAGACCTTCCTTTGTTGTTCCTCAAGGGTCTCCAAGGCCTCCTTCCGGAAAATAGCTTGTAGTATGTGTAGCTTCTTGGCTCGGCTCATAGTGAATGGCCTTGTGGAATTGTGTCAATCACTACCATCAATTGTTAAAACTAGTCATCATTTACAATTATCACCATCCACCACCATTACCACAAAAAAATCACCAAAATCACCACCATGTTATATATTACCAACAACATTATTCACCACCACCATAAACTATCACTATCATCCACCATAACTATTACACCAACTACCACCATCAACATCTATTGCCAACTACAATCACCATTAACTACTACCTACACCATCCCTGTCAACATCCACAACCATCACTGCTAGCCATCGCCACCATATAATTAAAAAAAAATATTTTGTTTGATATATTGAATTAGATTAACTTAGTATTTTATGAAATTTATATTTACTAATTTTTAAAATAAAGACAACTTTTATACATTCAAGGTGTTTAAAAAACAAAACCATATATGTATATATATATTTTATTTATTTATTTATTTTTTCGTTGATAGTATTAGATTAACTTAGTATTGTATTGAAAATTATATTTATTAATTTTTAAATAAAGACAAATTTTATACTTTTAGGTGTTAAAAAAACAAGTATTCTTAATTAATTAGTATTCAAATCTTAATATTTAGATATGTATTCAAATTCATACATCTGAATCTTGATGTACATCTTAATATTCAAATATGTATTTAGATTCAAAGGTCTTAATCTTAATGAAAACAAATGAGACCTTAGACATGGCAAAATAAGGGTGTGCCTATCTTGAGCTTGCTTGGACAAATCGTTGGTCTTGTCTAATTTATATGTTTGTCTTGTTTAATTTAAGTGTTTTCCAATGCCTTGATCTTGTAATGTCTCCTGAACTCCTTTTAGAGAGAATTATTTGAATTTTTCAATTTTTTCAGAACTCAGCCCCGAGGAGTCTGAGGATGTTCTTTTCAAGGAGGTATTGAATCCATCCAACAGTTACATTTACCTTTCTAATTCCTGCTATAACACATCTAGTGAATGTGATCCTTTGCCATTTGTTCAATAAGTACTTTTTTTTTCTCCAGAAATCTGCTTACTTCTCCCCAAACTGTGATAAATTTAAAAACAGTTTAATTATATTCTTGATTAAAATTATCAATTTCAAAGATAAACAACAAGACTACAATTTCTCTCTCTTATATAAGAGTCGGTATCTTATCACCCTATGATAACAGTCTTCCAATATCCAGCTTAAATGTGTTCTTATCAGGACAGCCTGTATAATGACCTCTTTCAATTAGCGCAAACTTGTCTCCTCCTTTTTTCTACGTCAAGTTTACCTTCAAAATTTTACCAGGCATGGCTAACTTACTTTTGGAGGAGAGCCAAAGCCCATGGTATACAGGAGGAAAAAGCCAATAAAAGGCTTCAATTTTGGAGTAGTCGCAGTGGTCACTCACCAACTTCTCATGATGCTGTTGATGGTACATTCCATACCTTTTCAGTCTATTACCCTGTTTTCTTTTTTTAATAAACCATGTCTAGAGGTACTTAATTGGTCAAACTACCATGTGTTCTGTATTGTACACAAGTTGGTAAATAAGCAAATTGGTGTATAATATTCTTGTAGCAAAGTCAAGACAAAACAAGATTTGACTTATAAGTTTGTGCCTATAGCCCTCCCAAAAATAAGTTTGTCTATGTGTGATGCATGCATACACACACCACACATAATATAGCTTGCAACATACGTAGTGGTAAACACACTGTATTGGACTTTGAAATATCAAATCTTATCTTTGTAATATAATATTTTGCGTAAACTTTGTGATATTTATCATTATCAACATAAGATAAGCTATTCAATGCATAATAAATCTTGAATATAATACACATACACACTATTCAAGATTAGTTTTTGGATTGTCTTACTATATACTTTTCTTTGGTACAATTGTCTTACTATGGTGATATTATTAGTTACTATCTCTTGTGACTGAGTTCATTTTCTAACATTTCCTGCGGTTGATATTTTAGTTGAGCAAGGTCTGATGGAGCTAAGGAAATTGGCCATTGAACAAAAACTATGGGAATCATCTCGGAGATGAATTGGTCATTGGTTGAGATTCTTCCGTTACTGGAGAGAAGTCTTCCCCACAGTCTAATATTACTGCTTGCGATATATTTTACTCACTGCATTTAAGCTCTTTTTCCACTCACTGTAGTATTCTTCCCAAGATTCATGTAGGTCCAACAGGAAGGGAGGGAGTCCAGTTAAGGTTACATGGATTTTTATTTAGTACAAACACGAGTACCTTAAGGATGATCATACGTAAATTCTGAAGCAAACTGTATTTAGAAGGGAGGATTTGGCTATGCTTGCCGTTCTGGGATGATATGCTTAGCTCCAAGTTTCGGTTATTTGGGAACTGTCATATTACTACACTGATGTATCATTCATATCCACACTTTTGTTTATTGTATTAACCTTTTAGTAGTAAATACTGTTTGCAACTTAGATATTCTTGGTTAAAGTACTTGGCTGAAATAATCATAATAACTAGTGTATTTGGAGGGATGATGGGGGAAGACTAAAGATTAGAATTGATTACTCAGCAGGTTAAATCTGTATCTGTAGGCATAGATGAGATGCTTTAGATTTTTCTATACATAAAACACAGGGTAGCTGTCATTATTGAGTTGAAGTAGGTCCACATGCATACCATTATACATGAATCAGAGGCGGAGTTAGGTGGGGTTCGTGGGTTCGGACGAACCCAGTAGCTTTTTCATAAATTCTGTATTTATACTAGAAAATTAATTAAATATATATGTATGTTAACTTGTGAACCCTAACAAAACTGATTGAAAGTTTAGTGGTAAGAAAAGAATTGTGGAAATGCTTTCCACGCTAGTGTAAGGACTTCGTTTTATTAAATAAATATATATGTATATTAACTCTTGGATTTTTTCTTTCCACTATCAACAAAAAGTTTCTCTTTTTTTTTTCAAAGGAAATTTAGAACCTTCAAATTCCAAATCCTGGTTCCGCCTCGATACATCATTGTGGTCTTGGCATCTTTCATGCAACCAGTCTTTGCATATTTTCTCTTACCCATCACTGATGTTGGCTTGTGGTCATTCAATGAGGGCACGCCAAGATAAAAAGGGTCATCTGTTTGGTGAAATGATGAGTTTTGGTCAAAGGTGACAAAGAGAGGGTTATACATAAAGGGACCAACTTTAATTATTATTATTCCTTTATCTGGTAAAGTGATGTTTGCTCTTGGTTTTTTCTATAGAGGTGTTGGATTAAACCATATATTTAATTTATAGTAAGGTTTATTCTGATGTCAACCGTTATCACGACGGAACAACTGACACAGAATAATATTTTATTTTTTTTAACTCCAATCACTAATGGTCTAATCCACTATGCATCTTGTATAAGCCACTTTTATGATAATGAATGAAGAGTAACCTATATTGACAACTCTCAGAATAAATATATTAGTATTGTTTATCTAAAATTGGTATAGTTGAATTTATGGGACGTCAAGATTACACATCTTATTTTAACACTTTTAAGATCAATTTACTAGAGGTTTAATTATCTTTCTAGATGTTAAAAGTGCAAGAAATGGAGATAAAAATAAAAAAAGTAAAGAAGAGTGAGAATGGATCTCTGTGTGCACACAAGCATTCCGAGAGCAACTATCGAGTCTTGGAGAGAAATTTGTGGAACAAAGACAGTTAACAAGATAAACTCAGTATAAAGCTACTTATTGTATTTCTCAGATTCAGAATGGATTTAAACTGAGGGATCCACTATTTATAAGCTACAGCAAATGGGCCTTAGCCAACAAGAAAGTTCCACTAGAGTTCTAAGGTACTCAAGCCAATGGCTTTGTGCCATGTGTCAAAGTCGTTGGTAGTGCCAACTGATATTCCTATTGTACTCAGGCTTGTACATGCTCGTCCACATCCTTGAAATTCTTGTTTCCTCTCTCTTTTTCTCCATGTTACCAAGGATGGTATGATATTAGGTGGTACTCCTCTCAAGGTGCCTCCCGAGAGAAGCAACTCTCGAGATCTTACTTTCCTGTCGAGTTTCCTCACCCATTTTTGCTTATTATCTGGCCACGTGGCCTTGACCAACTTAGACCCATACAGATAGTCCCTCCACTTTTTGGGGTTGAAGCCAATTGCCCATGGGAAGATGAATTTTTTTTTTATTCCTTTCTTCTAGGAAGATGAAAAAACTTTTAAACTTTCAACGAAAATGCTGTCGAGAAACTTTGCCTTCCACACTGTCTATCCTATCACATTTTATGTTTTGTACAAGTGTCTCTTATGCGTGCTGTCGAGGAAATCGTGACAAATCTAAATTGTCGCCTCCTTTATATATTTTTGACGATTTCTTTATTCTTTAAGAATCCTTATTTCCCATTCAATTTATTTTTCAGCCTTCAAGTCTTTAGAAAGTCCTTCTTCATATTCCGTTTCCTTCTTTCTTCTATTATATCCTTGCTTAAAATACATCTATGGAATTCCCTCTTTTTGAAGATGCGAAAGCTGCTTTTTGTCTCCTTTGAAAGCAAATGTTGAAGAATGAACAGCTCTGGTCAATTCTGTGGTCCCCTCGAAAAAACTTAATTTTGAAAAGATTGATTATTGTACTGAGTGAATTTTGTGACAATACTCAGGACACAAGACTTCAATCCATTCACCGTTTAGTTTCTGCGATTTGCATGGATAATATCTCTACAATTAAGGTTAATTATGGACAACCCAAAGATTTTGATGCTCTTTCTCCTCATCCCTCTAAAGATTTCTTGGCCCATTAATTAGTTACATCGGGATTTATACCATCCCATTCTCAACGGGGTTCAATCGTGCAATTATTTTCCCATTCGTTCTGTTTGAAATATGGGATTTTTCTTGGGAAGGTGGCTCTACGTTCTGGAGAGCAGCCTCCTACCTCTTGGTCCTCGCCAATAGGTTAGGGTTAGTATTGAATAATAATAGTTAAGTAGGTGTGTGGTTAGTTAAAGTTAGTTGTTAAAAGTTTGTTGTAACTGTTTACAGTGATCAGTGAGTTAGTTAGGACTCACTAATCACACATTCTAGAATGATCCATCTATAAAAGGAGGAATGCCTTCTTCATTGTACATTCATTCTGATAATGAAATAATATTCCTTTTCTTCTCTACACACATTTCTCTTATCTATTCTCTTCCATGTCAGAATAACTTCCATGGATTTCATCATCAAAGCATAACTTGACATGGTATCAGAGCAACGATACTGGGATCAATCGCCCAACTGCATTTTGAATTGATTTTCAGCTCCATATTCATAAACTGCAACTCTGTAATGGCATAATTGACAGTTGCCACTCTTCCACACAATCATCCTCTATACCTACATGTTTCAGATGCACCAGGTGTAGCTCTAATTACGACTAAGCTCACATGTCCAGAAAATTATGGCCTCTAGAGCAGATCGTTCAGGCTTGCTTTATTGGTGAAGAACAAACTCTGTTTTGTTGATGGAACTTGCCTAAAAAGCTCATACACAAAAGATTTAGCAGCTCAATAGGAAAGGTGCAATGTTGTTGTACTATCATGGATCAGCAGTACAGTAGCTTTTGAATTACTTACTACTATTGTATACGTGTCAAATGCAAAATGAGTCTGGGATGACTTCAAGGAAAGGTTCGATAAATCCAATCTTACAAGAGTGTATCATCTATGGACAGAGGTATCCTCTTTGAAAAGGTAGTGATTTTATCACCACTTACTATTCTAAATTGAGAGATCTGTGGGATGAACTAGATGTATTAGTACTTGCTCCTTTATGTGGTTGTGCTGAAGCCAAACCTTACATAGAACATCTTAATCAACAGAGGTTATTGATATTTCTAATGGGCTTAAATGAGTCCTATAGCCATATTAGAAGTGATTTACTGCTTAAAACTACTGTGCCTAGTGTTAATCAGGCGTATGCCACAACAGTTCAAGAGGAGAGTCAAAGATTGTTGAGTGTTGTGGAGATTCATAAGGAACCTCTCAGTATGCTGGCTAATCGAAAGCTAGGATTCAGAGGCAAAAAATTACTGGACAATCCATGTGCGCACTGTGGTTATAAGAACCATTTGAGTAAGAATTGTTACAGAGTCATTGGATATCCAGCTGACTTCAGAAGCAAGAGGAAGCCAGATGCATCCCGTAGTTACAGATCCACTTGTGGTTTTCAACAGGATTCTGCTGGTTTCAAATCCTCTGCTAACTATGCTACTCCTACAGGCCAGGGACATGCTCTTACACTTAGAGAAGAAGAATATAATCATGTGCAAAACCTTAGACACAATTCAGGTCATACAAATGAAGGTAATCATAAAGCAAATTTAACAGGTAATGTATCACTCACACCTAATATTTGTGAACATGAGTGGATCATTGACTCTGGGGCTACTCATCATGTTACTTCTTGTAAGGACATGTTATCACATTCAATGTGTCTTGGTAGTCAAGGATCAAATATTGTTCAATTGTCCACATGCAACAAGGCTAATATTGCAGGCATAGTGTCACTCCCCGAGAGCACCCCCTAGACGTGACCGGCGTACTTGACCCCAAAGGGGTCTCATACAAGCCTCATAGCATACATGAACATGAAAGCATAGGAAAATAGTGCAGAATTTTAGTACTTTTCTTTACAATTGAAATCTCTTAAAAAAATGAAAGAGAATCTATGACACTATGTCTCAAACCATCTATAACATTGAATTTGAATACAACTTTAGGGACACAACCCTTACAAAGAGTCTAAAACATAAAAGTAAAGACAATAAGGGACATATGGTTGAGCCCTCGAATACAATGGGGACTCACCGATCTTCTTCTTCTTGACCTCCTATGAACCTAGCCACGAGGATGGAATCCAATATCTCCAAAGCCTACACTTATAGAAAATGTAGAAAGATGGGGTTAGCACAAAAAGTACTAAGTATGGAAGCCATGCACAAAAAAACCATTAAAACATGCATAAAAGGGACATTTCATTTGAAATCATGCTATATGCCGTTTTTGAACATCATCTTTGAAATAGTTGGAGAATGCAACAAATAAGGCAACTCACATACATTTCATTATAACATGAGAGATATCATTATAATAACAAACATAGTACCCAACACCAACATAATTCATATCCCAATTTTAACAAGGCATAGTTCATCCACATAGACAAAAGACAAATACCAAGATTATCTCATCAT